GCGCTCAGCGTCCCCTCTCCGCCCGCAGCTGCTGAAGGGCGAGTTCCTGGAAAAGCACTACAGGCACGGAGGGAAGTTCCTCACCATACTGCCAGACGGGACAGCGCAGCTCTTGTATCCTTCATGGGGCTCGTTTGCCTCCCTTGCTCCAGGGCTGTAACTCTGATTTTTAGTTTTTCTAGTCTGCTTTACCATAGAGTAATCTGGCCCACCAGGTATATTTACTTCTAGAACCCCCCCAAAAAAGAGGAGGGGGGGCAAGCACCAGGGTGCTGCGACCAGCGGTACCATGTTAAGAAACAAAACCAGAAGGGCTTTCACCAAAGGACCCTGTAGTTTTCAGGCTGACTTTGCCTTTATCTAAACTACAATGTTTTTAAGTCATCGAACTTTTCCTTACTGTGATTCACTTCTTTCTGACTCAGGGATGTAAGAAATGAGTCTGAGATCTGCTCCCAAGGCAGACAGGCCGCTGCCCACGGCTGCAGCAAACCCAGTGCCATAAACGCATGCGCTCCCAGTAAGGCCTTGCTGGAGAGAGGCTGCTGCGAAGCAGAATAGCTGCTGTTTGGATACACCCGAGTCAGGCGGGGTCGGGGCAGAGCCTTTTACTCTCACCCTCTTGTCTGTTTTTCCCTCTGGGAGAATGAGACCTGACCCATTTTCTCTGCTCTTATTCAAGCTCAGTAAGTTGAATCATCACCCTTACAGACCCCAAGAATGTCTGTTTAATATAAGCTTGCGAAGTACTTCTGCCTGGGTGATTGGTTAAAAAGCAAAAGTATCTTTATCTCTAATTATTTTGTGCCAGTGTATAGAAAAAAATAACGTAGAGAAAAGTTTGGCAGCCTCCCAATTAAAACTGGAACCTCATTCTGGCTTCAACACAGTAATCTAGATAATACGTCACTTTTTACACCCCCAAAGCGGTGCTCTGCAATATTTACTGATAGCTGCCCCGCCAAGCGAAGCGGTTGTGGAGCCCTTATCCAGCGCGGCTATCCATCGGGAAACCTGGCGGCCGTGGTGGCGCGCGCCGCGGAGCGCTTCGTCTGCGTGGTGCGCGAGGACGCGGCCAGCACCGCCGCCGGACCGGCCGGGGTC